ACAGCTCACTGCAGCTTCGACCTCCTGAGCTCAAGCAATCCTCCCGCCTCATCTGAGTAGCAGAGACTACAGGCGTGCGCCATCATGCCCGGCTGATTTTAAAATAGAGACAGGGTCTTGCTTTGTTTCCCAGGCTAGTCTCAAACTCCTGGCTTCAAGTGATCCTCCTGCCTTGGCCTCCCAAAGTGCTGCAATGACAGGTGTGAGCCACTGCACCTAGCCCAAATTTCACCTAAGGGGGTAGTGCTAATTAAGATGTAGCAAAAACATATTTCCTTGAAATTCAGTACATGCTAGTGACCATGTAGTAAACAAAGTTAGGTGTGGTGTATCTGTACAGTTGCCTTGTAAATAAAGGAAACTGGTTTTTTGCAGCTGTATTCCAGTAGGCAGGTAACTGAAAAACAGATATAAGGACATAGCTCTCTGCTCCCAGACTTCTGCCTGGTGTGCCAAAGAGATGAACATCCTGCCACCAGGAGAAACCATCCTGGCTGGGCCCAGGGCAAGAGGGATGGTGTAGATCAGGGTAGGGCTGGGCACTTTTCGCAGCCCAGATACTTGGAGAGAAGCACAGAGGTGGAACAGTGGCCAGCTGGGGGCAGCGTTGAGGAAGGGCTTGCCCAGTAGCACTGGGCTGGATGTCAGCAGTGGGGTGGGCCCTGGCTTGACGGTCTCCAGTGTGGCTCTGAATGAGTGGGGAGAGCTGGAGAGGCAGGCTTGAGTTTCCTGCTGTTCCCTATTTTGTAGGTGTCAGCTGCAGACGGCAGATGCTCTGTGGTGGTGCAGCCGTCTGCCTGCCTCATTTTTCACTTGCCTGCGAGTCGCTCAGCCCAAGGGGGCCCCATCTTTCACCTCAATGGAACAGTATCCGGTTCACAACAGATGGGCCGGAAATGTTTGGGGGCTGGCTGACCAGGGCACCAGACTGGGCGGGGTAGTCTTAGAATACTTTTAAGGAAAATACATTTGATCTTCTTATTTGGTAAACTTTGAGTTATCGATTGTGACTAAAAATAGATTTAAGATCAACGTAGCCTGAAGACCATAGACCCATTTTACAGTTATGGGCTCCCAAAATTCAAGTTGCTGCTGGTTCATCACTTGGAAAATAATTCAAGACACAAAATCAGGCTGCAGGGACAGCCAGAGTATCATGGGGCTTTGGCCTCCACATCTCAGGTAACAGGAGTGAAGGGCCACTGGAATACAGACAAGAGGCTGCCTTCAGAGGAGGGACAAAGCCAACTTACTGAGCATCTGCTATGTTCTAGATGGGGGATGACGGATTGGGTGCTGAGGATGGTGATGAGTGAGGCAGTGTTCCTGATCCCTCAGTGGGAGAAGGGGAATCACATTTTATTAACTACAGGTAAAGGCTGGTGTCATGTTAGGAAGACTCTGGTATCCACAAAGGGCAATAGGATATACATGGGTTTAAGTTTTTTATTTTTATTTTTATTTTTTGAGACAGAGTCTCGCTGTCACCCAGGCTGGAGTGCAGTGGCGCGATCTCGGCTCACTGCAAGCTCCGCCTCCCGGGTTCACGCCATTCTCCTGCCTCAGCCTCCCGAGTAGCTGGGACTACAGGCGCCCGCCACCTCGCCCGGCTAGTTTTTTGTATTTTTTAGTAGAGACGGGGTTTCACTGTGTTAGCCAGGATGGTCTCGATCTCCTGACCTCATGATCCGCCCGTCTCGGCCTCCCAAAGTGCTGGGATTACAGGTTTGAGCCACCGCGCCCGGCCGGCCTAAGTTTTTAAGACAAAAAAATTCAGGAGTCCTTAGTGTGGAAACATGGTTGTGAGCAGATGTAATACAAACTCATCAAATCATTCACTAGAATTAGTCATTGCATTCCCAAATACTCATCATTAACTATTTATTCTTACCATTTATTTCCTTAGAAGCTTTAAGGAGATAACTTTAAGCCAAGAACAATGCCTACAATAAGGATTCATCTTATGAAAACACGTTATCCCAGAGCAGACCCAGGCTGGAAATATTTAATACCTCAAGAAAGGCTTAGACACAGGCCGAACCTGGTGGCTCACGCCTGTAATCCCAGCGTTTTGGGAGGCCAAGGCAAGTTGATCACCTCAGGTCAGGAGTTCTAGAACAGCCTGGCCAACATGGTGAAACCCCATCTCTACTAAAAATACAAAAAAATTAGCTGGGCATGGTGGCGGACACCTGTAATCCCAGCTACTTGGGAGGCTGAGGCAGGAGAATCACTTGAATACGGGAGGCGGAGGTTGCACTGAGCCGAGATTGTGCCATTGCACTCCAGCCTGGGCAACAAGAGCAAAACTCCCTCTCAAACACAAAAACAAAAAAGAAAGGCTTAGCCACATGGTGTATTTGCAATGTGTCAACTAAGCCAAGATGGAAACACACATCCCAGAATTCCTTCCCTGCTTAGTTATGGGTTAGCAAGGACCAATGACCTTGTGGAGATTTGAGAAGTGGAAATAATGTAGCAGCCACATTTTTTTTTTTTCTAATTTTAGAGACAGGGTCTCACTCTGTTGCCCAGGCTGGAGTGCAGTGGCGTGATCATAGCTCACTGCAGCCTTGAACTCATGGCCTCAAGTATCCTCTCACCTCAGCCTCTCAAGTAGCTGGGACTACAGGCGTGCACCACCATGTGTAGCTAATTAAATATATATATTTTTTGTAGTGATGGGGTCTTGCTATGTTGCCTAGGCTGGTCTTGAACTCCTGGCCTCAAGCAATCCTCCTGCCTCAGCCTCTCAAAGTGCTGGGATTACAGGTGTGAGCCACCATCCCTGGCCCCTTAAGTGTATTTTTAAAAGATGCCTCTGCTTAACACGCTGGCGAGCTTCCCACCATAGCTCTGTTCCAAAGTAGACTATGAGGCCTGTGGCTCTGCTGCCATTTCAGTTCCACCGAATGTGCGGGAATTCTAAGGAAGTACCAACATCTCCTTCCATACACCAAGAGCATCATTCGTCATACTAGAAAAAGACTTATTTTAAGATGGTACAAGGGCATCAGGTGACCTGGATGGCCATGGGCTGGCTGTATCACCATTCTGGGTCCTCCCCATTCTTGATTCTCCAAGGTTCCCTCATCTTTAGAAGACAATCCCTGCCTTATAAACTGTGCTTGAATTGTTCTAACTATAGTTACCCAAACAAGATGCTGTCAAAAATCTTAGGAGTTGTATTTAACGATGTTGTCTCTTTCTTGCCATATATTATTAAGGTCACACGTGGAGATTCTGGGCAATTACAGAGAGTGCCTTCTCCTCCCACAGAAATCTCCACGTCAGACATGTAGTAGAGAAAAATCTGAAGGGAAGTACTGAAAGTCTACCAAAACTTTTCAAGCCATCAGAGACCGTCCTTTTATGCACTTTTGTCAGCCATTGTCATTCAAATGCATAAGTAGCCAGCTGACGGAAAAAATATACAGCTGGGTTGGGAAATTCTGAGTTTCAGGATTTTGACTAACTGGCTCAAATTCAATGAGTTTTGTCACCAATATTGGAGATAGTCTCCAGTCTCAGAGAATACAGGGTTCAAATGTACCATACTAAAAGCAGAGTTCAGTGTGCTGCTAAGGCCAAGTGAGTCTAGACAAAGCCCTTCACTGGCAGTCCTCATGTTTGGAGGTTGTGCAGGCTGCCTCTGAATTACTGAGATATAAATTTACAGCCAGGAATCTTCTCTGGCTCATCCTCAAGGTCCCTAGGGTGATCATTATTTTCTTAGAAAAAAAAAAGCATGCAAATAAAGGGAATTTATTACTGTTGAGATAGGGTCTTGCTCTGTCACCCAGGCTGGAGGGCAGTGGCGTGATCATGGCCCACGGCAGCCCCAACTTCCCAGGGCTCAAGTGATCCTCCCACCTCAGCCTGTAACTGGGCCTAAAGGTGCAAACCATCACGTCTAATTTTTGTACTTTTTGTAGAGAGAGGGTCTTGCCATGTTGCCCAGGCTGGTCTCGAACTCCTGGGCTCAAGCGACCTGCCCACCTTGGCCTCCCAAAGTGCTAGGATTATAAGCACAAGCCACTGCACCCAGCTAGGAATTTATTTCATCACCAAATAATTTAACAGCCAGGAGGGAGAAATATAATTCAAATCCAGAGATGAAGCCAATAATTCAGAGGGAATAAAGGGTGACTAGAACCTGCATCAACCTGTCTGTAGACCTCAGAGGTCCTACTAAGTACCTTTCCAGCACCGTACCACTTTCTTCTGCAGTGTGAAAATTAGGATTTGCAGTATATGTGACATCTCCTTAGGCCTTGAGAGTCTGTGATGATGGGTACTGATGATACATGCTACTTAAGAAAGAAAATGGACGCTCAATACAGACCACCACCTGAGATATGCTTACTTTATGTTTCATATATTAAAGGGCACAGTTAAATTTTATTTTGCAAATTGAACCTACCTTAAAATCAGCTTTAAAAGGTGAAATATCCACTGGCTAATGAAAAAACAGAACCCTTTTATTTTTCTGATTACTTGGTTCTTTTTAGCAGTGATGCATTGTTCCGCCACTTTCACCCCAATGTTGGTTTCAGGTGCACCTTAGAGCAAAGTGTAGGACGATACTGTCCATTGCCAATTTTCTGATTTTTTTTTTTTTGAGACCGAGTCTCTGTCACCCAGGCCAGAGTGCAATGGCACAATCTCAGCTGACTGCAATTTCCACCTCCCAGGTTCAAGTACTTCTCCTGCCTCAGGCTCCCAAGTAGCTGGGATTACAGGTGTGCACCACCAGACCTGGCTAATTTTTATATTTTTAGTAGAGATGGGGTTTTACCACATTGGCCAGGCTGGTCTCGAACTCCTGACCTCAGGTGATGCACCTGCCTCAGCCTCCCAAAGTGCTGGGATTACAAGCATGAGCCACCGAGCTTGACCTCTCTGATGTCTAATTTCTTCAAGTTGGCCCCCACCATGGTTTTTTAACCAATATAGCTTTCCCTGAAAATCACTTAAGCAAAACCAAAAACAATGGGAAGTCACATTTGTTTTTTTGGATTTATTTAAAGAACACACAAAAAAGTGCATCTAAATGATTAAAAAAAAAAAGTCTTTAATTCATCATATGCTGACTTGGCAATCCATATGCAGCCTAAAAGGTTGAAAGATGCCTGTGGACTTCTACACAAATTGTTTAAGATGACTGAATTTGATACCAGAATACGTGAAGTGTCTTCTTGAATGGTAATGGGCACCCTGTAGTTATTTGCCCAGAACCACTCACACTCCCTTTCCCTCCCCACACACACTCTTGCCAGTTCCCCCTGGTGAAGCATAATACACACGTGAGAGACAGCTGGCACCATCTGAGTCTTGGAATAGCTTTCTTGTTTGTTATCTGCAAAAAGCTAGGTGGCCTTTTTAGTATCAAATTTCAATCTTGGCCTCACTGGAACCATACTCTACAGAGCTCTCCAAACAGTTTAACAAGTAAGCAAAATCAACGTTTGCTCTTCATATTTCGTAGGTGAGACTGGGGCTTTTAAAAGAAATATTTCATAAAAAAGACAAAAGCATAAATGAGAAATTAGAGGGATTTTAGTTATCATTAAAGGAAAAAACTCACAAATTGATTCCATTCATTCCGTGGAGAAGAAAAGTATTATAAAAGGTAATAACTTGATTTTTAGGTTTTAAGGGGGTCCTAATCTAATAATAAAAGTCTTTTGATAAAACCACCATAAAAATAAAAACTAATTTAAAATATAACTGCCAGTGTTTTTTAGGATTTAAAAAAGTGAGATGTTCCAGGTTTAAGCAAATGGTTCCTTGGGTTGCCAAATGCATTCCCATGAGTATTTCTTAGGCTGACGGAATAGAGAGCCATGCTCAATCTGTTTACCCGTAAGGACTGAAATTCAACTACATGTACACATTTATTTTAAGCCTTGCCCTAGTTCAATGCTCAGCTCAAGTACTGGAGATTGAGGCTGCTGGCTGGGTCCCGGCATGGGAAGCTGTCTGCAGCTCTTTCACAACTCACGCCAGAACAGAGAAGCTTGACAGGGCAGGAAAAGCGAGCAACTGTGTGTCAAACCTGAGGGTGAAACCCCTACCAGAGAAGAGCAACTACTTATTTGTCAACCCTATAGATTTTGTTTTTTAAAAATTAAGCTTAGTACTAAAAAGTCAAAATTTTTTTGCATGATAGAGGAGTGTAAATAAAGTTCCATAAACCAGTATACATATGCTTATGAGCCAATAATCTTAAAAAGACAAAAAAAGCTGCATGGATCCTAAATGGCTATGTAAATAGATCCACTCCAGGTCAAAAATATTGTAAGAACAAGTCTTAAATTCTTAATAGCAAGGATTAGAATGAAAGAAGCAGCTGAACAGTAGCAATGCTGGGAGGAAGTACTGTGTATTGAATATGATTTCCTAAAGGAATAGAGGAGGGAGAAAAAGCACAATTCTGACTGCTCTTTTCTTATTTCAGTATCTCAGAACTTCATCGAAAATAGGAAAAGGTAATCCAGAAACTCTCATCTGCTCATTATCATTGCTGAAGGTGTTTTAGGAATGACAGAATTACTCCCCCAGGGACAGGCTTCGTGCAGGAGAAACCCACTCTCACAAGGAGGCTGGCTGAGGAGGGGACTTTGGGGGGTGGCTAAGTCAGCAAGCAAGTGGCCTCTGAGGTTCTGGCTTTCACGTCTGTGACACTGCTGTGGAACTGGGGAGACATGAGACCCCTCTACTGTGGGTTCTGTTGGTTAAAAATGCAACAGATGGGCCGGGCGCGGTGGCTCAAGCCTGTAATCCCAGCACTTTGGGAGGCCGAGACGGGCGGATCACGAGGTCAGGAGATTGAGACCATCCTGGCTGACACGGTGAAACCGTCTCTACTAAAAAATACAAAAAACTAGCCGGGCGAGGTGGCGGGCGCCTGTAGTCCCAGCTACTCGGGAGGCTGAGGCAGGAGAATGGCGTGAACCCGGGAGGCGGAGCTTGCAGTGAGCTGAGATCCGGCCACTGCACTCCAGCCTGGGTGGCAGAGTGAGACTCCGTCTCAAAAAAAAAAAAAAAAAAAAAAAAAAGCAACAGATGACATTTATAGCACTTCAGTCATTTAAAAAAAAACAAGCTCATCCTCCTTCCCCTACCCTACCCAACTGTAGGAAAGAATAAATTCATGACGCATTTTTTTAAAGGTTTCTGCAGTGCTATTAAAGTTCAAAGGTAAAACCTAACAGCCCCACATTGTTAGGATGATCTCAAGGGACCCTGAATTAGATACTGAAGGTTGATAGAAACTGAAATGAGCTGGACTTAAGCTGCTGGCTCACTCCCTCCACACCACAGTCATTTCTGTTTGTTCCACCTGGAGTGGTCCCATGCCACCCCTCAGTGAACCCTCTGGGCAGCAGCAGGGGGGCTGTTTTTGGGAAGCTACTGGTTTTGCCATTTGCTTCCAGAATCACATAGACTATAACAAACTTTACATTAAACACTGTTCAGTCCTGAGTTGGGGGAAAGCCCATTGAGGAGGGGGCCGAGTTCATTGGGACTCTTCCCTCCTTGGCGTGGCGTCATACGTGGCCCTCAGCTTTCTCTTCTTCCGCTGCTGGACTGTCTGTTCCTTTTTCATTAGTGACCCCTTCTGAAGTCTTCTTGCCCATCGCTTTATTGGCCTCTTCCTAAGGAAGAAATAAGCAATCAAGAAGGTCAGAGAAAAAAGAAGTGAAATAATTCCTGGCTCCTCCAGACTGTGTATCAGGTCCCAAACACAAGGGTATTGCAACGATCTTCTCTAGGTTATCCAGCTGGGTAGGTCAGTGCTGTGCTACGGGAGCTTCACCTTTCTTTGGTTGACACACAGGACAGCTGTGAGATAATGAAGTCTGGGCATTCCTGGAGACTGGGGACGGGACCAGAGTGCCAACTATGCTGTAGGGAGGCCGCCCTCTCTCCAGACAGACCTCTCCTGCCACACTTGCCAGCCTGGCTGCCAACCCTCAAGATAACAGGCGTGATGTTGGGGCTCCTATAACATCCCATTTCCTAGGAAAATCAGAAGTCTTAATGAGGAAGTATTACTTGAAAAAAAAAAAAATCCTGATGGGTTTACAATTTTTCAAAAATGACAAAAGGGCCAGGCATGGTGGCTCATGTCTATAATCCCAGCACTTTGGGAGACCAAAGTAGGAGGATTCCTTGAAGCCAGGGGTTCGAGACCAGCCTGGGCAACAAAGTGAAACCCTATCTTTACAAAAAATTAAAAAAAATTAGCCGGGTGTGGTGGTGTGCTTGTCCCAGCTACTCAGGAGGCTGAGGTGGGAGGATCACTTGAACCAGGGAAGTCAAGGCTGCAGTGAGCCATGACAGCACCACTGCACTCTAGTCTGGGTGACAGAGTGAGATTCTAACTTGGGGGTGGGGAGTTGGTACAAAATTGCTGTTTTTACCATTGAAAGTAATGGTAAAATCCACAATTACTTTTGAACCAATCTAATACATCTGAAGGGAATTTACTTTTCTCATCTCTCACGACGTGTGCCTTTGGTGACTAGAACTGCCCTACTCAACCTTTGGATCCAAAGCATACTCAGCCTCAGATCAGATTGGAAATTGTTTTTCCTACTCTTGAGCCTCTTGGGTTAACTGTTCCTGTCCCCTAAAATCAAAGGGGCACGGCAGGCTCTCGATCCACCTGCATTCAGCGGGCTCTGCACACACCTTGGCATCCTGCTCTGCAAACTTCTTGAACATGTTGGCGTATATCCTGCGGTCCCGCTCGTTGTGCTCCTTGGCCTTTTTCTGGCACATGGAGATCTGCAGTCTTGCAGCCTTATTCTGGGGGTTTACTTCCAGCACTTTCTCAAAGTCACCCTTGGCTGACTCAAACTCGTTCATGAGCAGCTGGGCTTCACCCCTCCTATACAAGCCTTTCTCATTGGCACTGTCCAGTCCAAGGGCCTAGGAATAGATGGTTTATATTTTAGAAAGGATGAATTTTAATAAATTCAGCAAACAGCTTACCAAAGTTCTCTTGCCAAAGGAGATGGAAAAAGTGTATTTAAAAAATGGGACTCAAGATAATTATATACTACTGATCAAAATTTACTACCCAAATTATTTTCTGCATTTAATGCAATTTCTAGAAAGATACCAAGGAGATTTGAGAGGGGGCTCTTGAGAAGTTCATTTTAAAGTTCATTGGAACAAGTAAGTGCCCAAGAATGGCTGAAAAAAAATGGGAAAAAAGAAAAAACTAAGAGGCATTGTCCTACCAGAGAAAAAGACAAACTTTAAAACTACTGAAATTAAGACAGTGTGGTTACTAGTATGTGGACAAACAGCTCAGTGAAACAGAACGAATCATTCAGAAACAGTCACGTGTCTGCATATAAAAATGTTTGAAAATGACAAGGGTGGTAATATGAATCAGTGGAGAGTTAACTTTAAAATAAATGGGGCCAGGACAGCAGCTATCCACGTAGAAAATAAGAGTTAAGGCTGAGTGCAGTAGCTCACGCCTGTAATCCCAGTACTTTGGGAGGCTGAAGCAGGTGGATCACCTGAGGTAAGGAGTTCAAGACCAGCCTGGCCAACATGGCGAAATCTTGTCTCTGTTGAAAATACAAAAATTAGCCAGGCATGGTGGCACGCGACTGTAATCCCAGCTAGTTGGGAGGCCGAGGCAGAATTGCTTGAACCAGGGAGGTGGAGGTTGGAGTGGGCCGAGATCATGCCACTGCACTCCAGCGTGGGTGACAGAGTAAGACTCTGTCTCCAAAAAAAAAAGTTAAATTCTAACCTCATATTGTAAGCATAAAAATAAATTCTAGATCAATCATATTTACATATAAAAAACCATAAAATGTTTCTATTGTTTTTTATTTTAAGATATTTAAAATCTAATTATTTTTTTGAGGCAGAGTCTCACTCTGTCGCCCCGGCTGGAGGGCAGTGCCTCAATCGCAGCTCACTGCAGCCTCTACCTCCTGGGCTCAGGCAATCCTCTCGCCTTAGCCTCCGAAAGTCTGGGGGGTTACAGGTCACAGGTGTAAACCACTGTGCCTGGCCTCAGTTATTTTTATAATCTTGGTGTGGGGAAGTCTTTTCTAACTAGAAAGGAGAAGATAAATTTGACTACATAAACATTAAAACCTTCTTTAAAGAGAATGATATAATCAACAAAGCTAAAAGAAAATTGCTGGGGTGTGGTGGCTCACACCTGTAATCCCAGCACTTTGGGAAGCTGAGGCGGCAAATCACCTGAGGTCAGGAGTTCGAGACCAGCCGGGCCAACATGGTGAAACGCTGTCTCTACTAAAAATACAAAAACTAGCCAGGCGTGGTGGCGGGCATCTGTGGTCCCAGCTACTTGGGAGGCTGAGGCAGGAGAATCGCTTGAACTCGGGAGGTGGAGGCTGCAGTGAGCCAAGATTGTGCCATTGCACTCCAGCCTGGGTAACAGAGAAAGACTCCATCTCCAAAAGAAAAAAAAAAAAAAAGGAGAACAGGCTTCCTATTGCCAAAAATAGGGTTAACAGTGATGCTATATGACTGCTTCTGTCAATAGAAGACAGACAAATAATGTAGTCAAGGCTGTGCTGGGTGTGATACCTCACAACTTTAATCCCAGCTCTTTGGAAGACACCCATCTCTACAAAAATAAACTTAAAAATTAGCAGGGTGTAGTGGCATGCACTTGTAATCCCAGCTACTCAGGAGGCTGAGGTGGGAGGACAGCTTGGGCCTGAGAGTTTGAGGCTGTAGTGCATTATGTTCATGCCTATGAATAGCCACTGCACACCAGCCTGGGCAAAATAGCAACACCTTGTCTCTAAAACAGAAACAAAACACACACACACATACACTCTCTCTCCACTGTGTATGAAAAAAATGAAAAAATATGTATAAAATTAACAACCGGTCTTGGGAGACAGGATGCGATAGGAAACACTGATCCACAAAATTAAAAAATAATCTCACAAAGAATGTACAAAATAGTTGCCTTGTTTTTCTTTTCCTTTTATGTCTACCTTTAAGATACATCCAATGATTAGTTTTTACTTTTACCCACAGTATAATATACACTGTTCACCCTGAGACCAGATACCTAAAATAGTATCAGCTGGTGTATATCAGAATGACACATAACGATACAGATGATAAACCATTGTTATTACTGTAAGCACTCAAAGACCAAAGAGAGTATTAATAAGACAAATGTAAAAATGAAAAGGCTGCTGATGCTCTGTGGACCTTTCAAATTATTTATGCATATCAGTGAATAAATGATTATAATAAAAATTGACCTACATATATGCTTTATATGAACAGTTGCAGTCTGTTAAAGTCCAGAAAAGCTTAAGTTAAATCTGCTCTTATTAAACTGAACCTGAGAAGTTATACATCTACTCTGATATACATACTACAGTTATAAGGAAGGTCACGGATAAAATTATTTAATTTTAATCAAAACTTTTCTTCAGAATGCATTATGACAAACAGTCCTAGGTATCATAAAAGTCTGGCTATAATAAAAATCTTGCTCAATTTCCCAATTCATACTGAGAAACAAATAATCCCAAACATTCAAATAAACAAAACAAAATGAAAAATCCTTCAATCTTTGGCTGAGAGGAAGCAAAAGACAGAGATGGAGAAAAGATCTGGAATATCTCAAGTCTATCTCACAGGAGACACGGCGTTACCTTGTCACAGCATTCGACAGCTTTGGTGTATTCTCTAAGCTTCAGGTAGCACATGGCCAGGTTCAGAAAGGCAGCAAGCAGAAATGATTCAGAAGCTTTTGATTCCTTTTCTGATAAACCATATTCCATCTCTAACCAGGATACTATCTTCCCATACTGAATCACCGCCTGCATGTATTTGCCTCCCTAGGAGAAAAAAGTGTCATTATTTGTACTCGGTCTTCAGGGTGTACAAAAGAAAAGCAAATCCTTAAAGGGAAGCAACCCCTCCAGCAAACCCTGGTACAGCTGGTTTCTTTCTTTCCTTCTGGAGGTGGCTCTCCAGGTGCCTTTCCCACTCCCTTGGAGGCCTCGGTGGCCTGCGAGCTGGTTTGGGGCAGTGCCTGAGCACTGTCTAGTGCTTCTCTCCAGCATTTCCATCCATCCCTTTGGCGTAGTACAGCCAGAGTACTACGGTTGTACTATCCTTTGGTGTAGTAGAGCAAGGCTTCTGGGCTACGTTCTTTGATGCCAATATTCTTTGGTGTTTTTTTTTTTTTTTTTGAGACAAAGTCTCGACTGTCTCCAGGGCTGGAGTGCAATGGCATGATCTCAGCTCACTGCAACCTCCGCCTCCTGGGTTCAAGCGATTCTCCTGCCTCAGCCTCCTGAGTAGCTGGGACTACAGGTGGCCACCACCACGCCCAGCTAAGTTTTTCGTATTTTTAGTAGAGACAGGGTTTCACTATGTTGGCCAGGCTGGTCTCGAACTCCTGACCTCATGATCCGCCTGCCTTGGCCTCCCAAAGTGCTGGGATAACAGGCATGAGCCACTGCTCCTGGCCTATTCTTTAGTCTTTCAAAAGGACTGTGAGCAGTTTTAGACCATGCCATTAAAAAAAAGAAGAGGAAGTTACTTTTCTCTTCAGCACTTCACAGCAAATACTATATTCTGGCAAGTGCTAGTTCCAAACACAGCCAATCTTATTTGAACCAATCTCTGTTGCAACTACTAAACTCTTGTCATTCATAGTGCAAAAGTTGCTCTAGACAGTATGTAAATCAATAGGTGCAGCTGTGTTTCAGTTAAACTGTACTTACAAAAACAGGCAGAGACCAGATTTGGCCAGCAAACTGTAGTTTCTGACCCTTGATCTATAGGCAATGGGAATACGAATAGTTGGATAGTAGCATACAACATAAATCACAACTACAAAACAATATACATCAGAAAGGTCTTTCAGCTATGTGAGAAAAATCTTTCTCCTACTCATATTTTTGTTTTTACCTGATTAGAATTAGAATTCTAACAATTTTAACAATCACATCAATAAATTATATATACATATATATATGCATGCTCATATAAGAAACTCTGGGGGCCGGGCGCGGTGGCTCATACCTGTAATCCCAGCACTTTGGGAGGCCAAGGCCGGCGGATCACTTGAGGCCAGGAGTTCGAGACCAGCCTGGCCAACATGGTGAAACCTCTTCTCTATTAAAAATACAAAAATGAGCCAGGTGTGGTGGCACATGCCTGTAATTCCAGCTACTTAGGAGGCTGAGGCACGAGAATCGCTTGAACCCAGGAGGCAGAGGTTGCAGTGAGCTGAGATCATGCCACTTGCACTCCAGCTTGGGTGACAGAGCGAGACTCCTTCTCAAAAACAAAACAAAACAAAACCCCTCTAGGGCTGAGACAATGTGTTCACTGAGATTTAAGATGAATGAAAGAACTGGGGGATCGCTGGTAAACACGCAAATAGAAACAGGAGTGCAACTGGGGACTCTCCTTTGAGGAGGCGATAAGCTCAAAACCACAGAGGACACATCTTGCCAGATGGCAGAGGAGCAGCCAGACCTATTAGGACATTAAATTCAATGCCTGACCAACAGTGTTAAGACTATGTTACTAGGATTTACCACCGTCAAAGGAGCGTGTACATCTCACCGCCGCGTTGTCTCTCCCCACAAATACTCCAACCCTCCCCCAAGGACTCTGAGTAAGAGAAAAACCATACAGCAGGTGTAAAAGGATGCTCCTGTGACACAGGACTTAAAGCGGGTGACATAAGAAACGCGCTCTGCCTGTAGAAAGGAAGCCCCGGTGTAGATTTTCTGGTGATGAAGATAGGGCAGACCTGTTCCAGCTGGAGGGCCTGGGTGTGAATGAGGGCCAGGCTACATCCTCGAACATCCTTCTTCCCAAGTCACTCGCTTAGGAGAGAGGAGACTGGCACTAAAATCAAAGACTGTCACCCTCTCTGCCTCAGAAATGTGTGATACAGGTTATTCATAAGGACCCAGGGCATTTTATTATAAATGCTGAAATTCTTGAGGACATTAGATTTGCTATGGACTAAATTGTGTCCCCCATCCCAAATTCCTATGTTGAAGCCCTCACCCCCAATGTGACATCTGCAGATGGAGCATTTGGGGAGGGAATTAGGTTAGATGTGGTCATGAGGGTGGGGCCTCATGATGGGATTAGAGCCTTTACAAGAAGAAACACGGTGCTGGCTGCCCTCTGCCCTCTCTCCACTCACGGGCACATGGAAAGGCCACGTGAGGTCACAGCAAGAAGGGAGCTACAAGGAACCAGAGGAGAGGCCCTCCCCAGGCACTGACCCTGCTAACACCTTGATCTTGGACTTACAGTCTCCAGAAGTAAATTCCTGTTGTTGAAGCCAGCCAGTGTAGGTATTTTGCTGTGGCAGCCCAAGCTGACTAAGACAATACTTACATTTTGTCATAGCCTTAGACCTACCCCCTCCTTTTTTGGATGCTACAAAAAAATAAGAATAAAGTCCTCACCAGTTTCAGGTCGAAATTTTCTTTCTGTCACTGCCTATTCTCTTGCTGGTCTTTGAGGACAGGCAGCATTCTCCTCTCCCTTTTGGAATATTCAGGGTTTAGCACCAAGAGGTCTTTTTTTTTTTTTTTGAGACGGAGTCTCGCTCTGTCGCCCAGGTTGGAGTGCAGTGGCCGGATCTCAGCTCACTGCAAGCTCCACTTCCCAGGTTTACGCCATTCTCCTGCCTCAGCCTCCTGAGTAGCTGGGACTACAGGCGCACGCCACCTCGCCCGGCTAGTTTTTTGTATTTTTAGTAGAGACGGGGTTTCACCGTGTTAGCCAGGATGGTCTCAATCTCCTGACCTCGTGATCCGCCCGTCTCGGCCTCCCAAAGTGCTGGGATTACAGGCTTGAGCCACCGCGCCCGGCCACCAAGAGGTCTTTAATAAAGGTTTGTTGAGTAAATATTGAAATCAAAGGAATGTAAGTATGGAAACAAAACTTTTTCTAAAGTGGTGTGGTGGCTCACGTCTGTAGTCCCAGCACTTCGGGAAGCTGAGGCAGGAGGATCTCTTGAGTCCAGGAGTTCGAAGCTGCAGTTAGCTATGCTTGTGCCACTGCACTCCAGCCTGGGTGATAGAGTAAGACCCTGTCTCTCTCTAGAAACAATACCAACAACAAAACCTTTTGCTATCATTGGGAGCAAAAACGTGTGGGTGGGAATGAAAGGTGCTGTTTCATTGAGATGAGATGGGAAGGACAGGCATTTCCCCTGTCATGCCTCATTTCTTCATCCTCTCTCCTCCTCCATCTCTAATGTACCTATTAACTTTTCTGATTATCTCCTAATACATTGTGTAGGGAAAGAAAAGAAGAGCCAGGGAGGACAAAAACCTAGATCGTATCATTTCAGTAAGTTCTGAATAATCAGAATGGTAGAAGGCTATGGTAAAACAAAACACAAAAAAACAGGTATTAGACTTCTTAATAGTCTCTTTACATTTATAGGGCATTTAAATTCTTTGAAAGCTCTTGCATATATATCATGTAACTTTATTTAGACTTGAACTTCCAATGAGCGAAAAATCTGTCTTGTACTCCCTGCTTCTGAGGTACTAAAGCAGTTCTCAACCAGGGGGTGATTTTGCCCCCCCAGGGAACACCTGGCAGGTCTGGAGGCATTTTTAGTTGTCATAACTGGGTAGGATGCTACTGGCATCTAATGGGCAGAGGCCAGGAATGCTGCTAAATATTCTACAATGCACAAGACAGCCCCACACAACGAGAATTATCCCACTCCAAATGTTGATAGTACCAAGGTTGAAAAATTCTGCACTAAGAGATAAAAGAGGGTGGACTCCTCTTAGGAATTTTTTAAAATCTCAAATTCTGGAGTCATAAATGGCTTGTTTCTAAATCACACTACTGGTATCTTGGAAGAGCAAGGGTGGTGAAAATATAGCAAAGCCCGATTTATCTGAAGAGTTCAGAGGTTGAACGATTCTCCTCAACTAGTTTGTTTTAGAAATGTTTCTTTCCAGGAGAAGCACAAGGGGGCGCAAGAATCCCACATCACTTCAGTGTCCTTAGCCTTCTTGCCACTCTGATGCCAAGTCAGAAAAAAAAAAAAAACAAAACAAAATACTGACCAGGTGTGAGTTAATGCTCCTGTCCTGCAGAACACTGTCAGCTATGAGGGCAAAAACTGTGTCTGTTTAACTGGCTTGCACAATGCCTGGCTTAATATTATGCTGTTACCTGTACTTAATAATTATTTTCAGAACCAAATAAAGAGTTCTCTATTTTTCTTCTCTTTGGTAGTCAGAGGTTGAAATGAGGATTTTACATCTTCAATGGCAAAATCATTCCCACTTAAAAGCTGAGTACAATTTAACCCTACTCAGGAGAGAGGCTTTACCCATTTAGGTATAAACCAAACCAACAGATCAATGGAAACAGAATTCCAAGATGCAGATGGCATGAAATACAGATTTTTAGTTCAGCCCATCTCTGCTCTCACCTACACATCTGGACTCTGTGCAAATGCATAACATGCCGAGTCAGACACCCTGGAGCGACAAGGCCCAGGAGGGCAGTATGGCAGCTGGAAACCTTCCCCGAAAGTTGGGAAGGGAATATGTACAGGAAACTATCTACTAACCATTTTGAAGCTAAAGCTAGGACTACTGCTGGGATCTTTTACCTATAATTATAAAGGTGCCTCCAGGGAAGTTTTTAGTGGTACAAAATGTTCAGAGACATTCTGGGAGAAAAATCTTAGGTCAGTGGTTTTGAACCTTTCATTAATTTTTCCCCAATGGACTAATGTTTTGAAAGATTTTGCCTATCAAATTCCATGCTAAAAATAATTTGTTCCGTATGTGTGACTGCTGATCCAGATTTTTATCCAAAGATTGGTAATTTTAAGAAGGTTCATAATAGTATCACTCTTGCAGTTGTGATGCTAATAAGCAACAAAGTTAAGTAACTGTACAGACACTTACTCATTGCTTTCCGCTACTGATTACTAATTCTGGCCATCTCTCTGTATATATTCAGAACACAGCTATATGACACATGGCTTCATAACATTATTTCATTACCAATAATGTTCTCCAAAATTCTGTATCATAGCAACCAATTAGAGCCTCTGAATAGCTGAGCTGCTTTACTACACTGAATCGATATGATTCTACTCAAAGGCCAAAAGCCTCAAATCTTCCCAAACTGTTAATATTCTACTTAGAAGTATTAAAAAATATGTAAAATATATAAAATACAGTTCAGGATTTTTACGGACTTCAGAAATATAGAAAATACCGTTAAGGACCCATGATCTTAAGAAATTTTGTAGAAACATTTTTCACTCTAGTGTATTACGTATTTGGATATACAAACAACCCATTTGGAATCTTACTTGAATAGTTTAGAAGTATCCATATACCTCAATTTGAATTAAAAACAGGCCGGGTGCGGTGGCTCACGCCTGTAATCCTAGCACTTTGGGAGGCCGAAGTGGGCATGAGGTCAGGAGATGGAAACCATCCTGGCCAACACGGTGAAACCCCATCTCTACTAAAAATACAAAAAATTAGCCGGGCATGGTGGCAGGTGCCTGTAGTCCCAGCTACTCGGGAGGCTGAGGCAGGAGAATGGCGTGAACCTGGGAGGTGGAACTTGCAGCGAGCCGAGATCGCGCCACTGCACTCCAGTCTGGGCTACAGAGCGAGACTCCGTCTCAAAAAAAAAAAATAATAAAAAAATCAAAACAAAACAAAAAAACCTCCTTGTTCTTGAGAGTTTAGAAACTCACAGAAATTCAGGCTGGAAGGAAACTTGAGGAACATCTAACTCCCCTATTTTTCACTTGAAAATATAACCTCTTTGGACCTTAAATGACTTTAAAATAAAGCCCATTTTCCCCAATTCCGAGCTTATTCTATCATACCCCAATGCTTTCTGGTGATCCATAAAAGAGTTTAGTACACATAGTAAATAATGATAAAATAAGTATAAATATATAAATGTTATCTAAACCCATGATTTTAAATTTGTTTGAATACAACCTACAGTAAGAAATGTGCAATCCAGTACTTACTCATACACACGTAAAGTTTTATGCAACAAAACTGATCCTTATATTGCAATACACTTCCACAAAACTGATTTCACGACCCAATATTGTCTTGGCTCAAATTCTGAAAACACATGGTGCCCTCTGGCTGTGTTAATTTTGGGTTGATTATATATTCTTACATAATTCTCTAGTTGTTTCATTTGGATTAACATTGCCACCCCTCCCTCCTGACAAGGTTGTAACTTAATAATAGCATGGCTTATAGCAGATGCCCCATAAAGACTTGTTAAAGTACACTTATGCCTCACTGCTTTATACTGCTGAAAAACACTGCATGTATTGCAGTGGTAGAAAATGAAAGAAACCTTGACAAAACTCCCATTCTCCCTCTAATTCTCATCACTAAGCCCTTTCTGCTTGACATGGAGAAGGCATATATTTGGGGTGGGGAAGCAATGGGTAGAACACTGATTACAACAGAATAAAGTGCAGTTTCTTTTCTTCTTACATCTAGAGGTTTAAGATCTAAGTGAGAAAATATCACACTCCAGATGCTCCAAGAAGGGTTTTTGAGAAGCAATCTACGATGAATATCATTCAGGAATATCTGGAGATTCCTCACAAAAGCAAGTGTGCACGAATCATCTTGGCTGTGAGAAGCAGTCAATACTCTCCTGTCAGTTCTTTTTAAAATCTGTATATGTTCTCTTTCCCTTTGTCATATGCTCTAGTGACTTCATCAAGACAGTATAAAGGAAGATGGGCTGGGTGCAGTGGCTCACGCCTGTAATCTCAGCACTTTGGGAAGCTGAGGCGGGAGGACTGCTTGAGGCTAGAAGTTTGAGACCAGCCTGGGAAAGAAAAGGAGGCCCTGTCTCTCATACAAAAAAAAAGGAAGAAAAATGATGAGAAACTTACCCCTATGAATTCCATTCTTTGTTAATAATTATTCTATTCATTCTTTTTTCATTCCAAAAACACTTGTTGAGTGCCAAGTATGCACCAAGCAAGATGCTTTAGGAGTAAGTGATACTGTGGTGGGTGGGGATACCAGACCTGGTCTGCCTGTGTGGAAGGTTACAATCTAGAGCAGAATGTGTAAAAGAGGAATATGTACCTTTTTTTCCCCACATTATTCTTTTCTCACCATTTTTCATATTGAAAATGACAGATTTGTAAAAATTCCAGCTTATTCTTACCAAGCAGAGTGTTGATAAAATTCAGAGTAGGGAATATCAGCACAATTCACTGACACTTGAGTAAATTATTTGAGATGGAAAGGATTGTACAGGGACTCACACACCTTGAAGTATACGGTTCCCTTCTCTTTGACAATGGCAGCCTGCTCCAATTTTTCTTTGGTATCCATCTCCCAGGATTCTTTGGCCTGTGTGTAAATTTGTGACAATGGTTAGATGAACAGAGAGAAAAGCATCAGTTGAGCCCTATTAGAACAAAGAGCAGCTAATTCTAGAAGATACTCCAAACTGAAAACACTCTGGCTGTTGAAATTGTGTGTCAGTGCCAATTTACTGCTAGGCCAGTGCTTCTTTACACTGTTTTAAGAACTCACTTTCCATTATGACCAAGCTGCAGCTTGAACAATGTTGCTCAAGAGGGAGGAGCCGCAAAAACACAGCAAGGAACACACTCTGGTAAGCACTGCTACAAAGTGAATCTTTAGAAATATAAGGTGAAGACACAAAGTTAAGGTCATGCCTTATATCCTCCCTCTTGCAAGCCTCTCCACTAGGCTGTTTCTCTTAAGCCTCAGTTTTTCAACTCTAAAATGGGAACATGACTGTAGTCAAGTTGTAGTTTGTATATTCATACAGAATTTTCAAAATTCTGGGTCAGGTTGTCTTGTCACTCTAAAACAACCAGATATACTAATAATACTGCTAAATTGTATCAACTTGCAGATGTATACTGGGGGACTTCAAGCAAAATATAACTGGGAGTTAAAGCTCATGCAAAAATATCACTTTAGAGCCATAAATAAATGATTTCATTATCATGTGCTAGCTTGTATTGTGTGTATTATTACTTCTACCATTACAGATACAAATCCAGAAATAACTGCACTTGCCATTTAAAAGCTGGATTTAGAAGGATCATAGAGTCAAGAGAACAATCTGGGATCCTTTAGGAAAAGTGACAGTGGGCGTGGTCAGTGCTATTTACTGCATATAAATTATGAAGTTTAAATGGGTAACTAAAATTCTCTCTATTCAAAAGATAAGGAGTGTGTGTTCCTGGTGTCACAGCCCCTGTTATCTTCTACTTTTATTATATTATTATTATTACTATTATTATTTTTTGAGATGGAGTTTCACTCTTGTTGCCCAGGCTGGACTGCAATGGCGTGATCTCAGGTCACCGCAACCTCCGCCTCCCAGGTTCAAGTGATTCTCCCGCCTCAGCCTCCAGAGTAGCTGGGATTACAGGCATGTGCCACCACGCCCCACTAATTTTTTGTATTTTTAGTCGAGACGAGGTTTCTCCATGTTGGTCAGGCTGGTCTCAAACTCCCAACCTCAGGTGATCTGCCCACCTCAGCCTCCTAAAGTGCTGGGATTACAGGCGTGAGCCACCGTGCCAGCGACTATCCTCTACTTTTTAAAAGTGAATAATGAAAGGGTTACTCGTCTTGCTGGCAACTCATATAATTCTGCTTCCTAATAATGTAGCTCAATTATTCAAAAACCTAGTTATGGTTCAATTCCAGGTTTTAGCACCCAAAAAAACAAAAACAAAGAACACCTAGTTAATAAGTCTCTTTGTATTTCTTAGGTTGGCTTCAGTCTTTATGGAATATAAGTATACTCTTTTATTTTTTCTTTTTCTGAGACACGATCTTGCTCTCGTCCAGGCTGCAGTGCAGTGGCACGATCATGGCTCACTGTAGCCTCGACTTCCCAGGCTCAAGCAATCAATCCTCCTGCCTCAGCCTCCCGAGTAGTTGGGACCACAGGCGTGTGTCACCATGTCCAGCTAATTTTTTTTTTTTTGTAGAGACAGGGCCTTACTATGTTGCTCAGGCTGGTCTCAAACTCCTGGGCTCAAGCCATCCTCCTATCTTGGCCTCCTGAGTAGTTGGGACTACAGAAACGTGCTACTACACCCAGGAAAATTTTAAATTTTTTTGTAGTGAGGGGGTGTCACTATGTTGCCCAAGCTGGTTTTGAACTCCTGGGCTCAAGTATTCCTGCCTCGGCCTCCCAAAGTGCTGGGATTATAGGTGTGAGCCACCATGCCTGGAATATAAGTGTATTCTTTTTTTTTTTTTTTTTTTTTTGTCTCCCAGGCTGGAGTACAGTGGCACGATCTCAGCTCACAGTAACCTCCACCTCCTGGGTTCAAGCAATTCGCCTGCCTCAGCGTCCCGAATAGTTGGGATTACAGGCACCTGCCACCACGTCCAGCTAATTTTTGTATTTTTAGCATAGATGGGGTTTCACCCATCTATGCAGCCTGTTGGCCAGGCTGGTCTCGAACTCCTGACCTCAGGTGATCCACCCACCTCGGCCTCCCAAAGTGCTGGGCTTACAGGCATGAGCCACAGCACCTGGCCAGGCCTAGTCTATTCTTAACAAGGCAAAGGATTAAATCACATTGCCCCGAACAACATCACATACCTTCATGTGATTTCAAATATACCAAGCAGCAGTGCATGAATATACTCTTGGAGTGATGACAGAGCACAGGCTTGCTGTGGTGTCACTGGGAGAGTGCTCCTAAATAAGCAATGTCCACTGGGCGATGAGAGGGAAGGGGCAAGAGGCTGCTTTATAAAAATGGAAATAGTAAAGCCAGAGGTCTAAATAACCACATGCTAAATATTATCTTCTCTCTCTTTAACAATAAAAAAAACACAATATGCAATGACGACAGCATTGGGGCATCAGTGCTGAGCTAGCAGGTTTTCAGAAGAGGTTACATGACAATCAGTGGTCATAACCAGAGCATATGTCTGTCTAGGGGAACATGAAATGGAAGGGGTATGATTAGGAATGTCACTGTTGGGGGTGAATCCCAAAGCAGGCCTCCCCTCACTTTCTTAACCCAAAGGTACAGGCCCATAGGACCAGGATTTCCTTTCTGAATCTAACAAAATATAAATGGTCACGTTTCCATTTATATTACTGTGCTTAAGGTGGCCAGGCACAGTGGCTCACACCTGTAATCCCAGCACTTTTGGAGGCCAAGGCAGGAGGATGGCTCGAGCCCAGGAGTTTGAAACCAGCCTGGGCAACACAGTGAGACCCCATGTCTACAAAAAATAAACAAAATTAGCTGGGCGTGGTGGCATGTGCCTGTAGTCCCAGCTACTTGGGAGGCTGAGGTCGGAGGATTGCTTGAGCCCAGGAAGTCGAGGCTGGAGTGAGCTATGATTGTGCTCACTGTATTCCAGCCTGGGTGACAGAGTGAGACCCTGTCTTGAAAAAAAAAGGAAAAAAAAAACAACAAAAAAATCCTTAATGTACAGAAAGTGGAGGTAGCACTGTGCAGGAATAAAGAAGGAACACAAATGCAGTCCTTGAGAAGCTCCACAAAGGGCAGGGCTTTGGAAATGCCAGGGGCATGTGGCCGAAGACGACAGCATACCTAGCTCAGGTATATGCTGTGTGTGTCCAGTTCAGCTGCTGCTGGGAGCCTCCAGAGTGAAACTGAGATGAAAATATGTTCAAGGAGTCATACTGTTTCTGGAATCCAAGGCAACTGACAAATTCTCTCTCATCTCTACTTGGAGAAGTATGAAAAAAAAAAAAGACTTCGGGTTAGCCGGTTTCTTTCTCGTATCCCTGGTCACACAGCCTAGAGGCCTTCGAGGACTTGCAGTTGGGATAACAACTTGAAGTCACAGTGCAGGCCCCTTCATGACTCCTGTGAAGGGTACAATCCGTTCAGCTCTGAAAAGCTGCACCCCACTCCCCCAAGGAGCCACTTGGCAGAACGTGAACCTTTCTGTCCTCAACCCAGGAAAAAAAAAGTACAAAAAGAACAAGTCTAGGAACAAATAAGGGAACAAGTCTTGGATTCTACCCAAAAAAGTTTAAAAAAAAAAAAAAAAAGCTGACACATAGGAACAAAATAAGAACACGGAGCTCCTTCGTTGTATATCAGCTGTGCTATGTCAGTTGTCCTATTCTTCAGCAGTAGTGTTGGAGGCAAGAGACAAACTTGATAATGAATAAACACCATCTATCTATACCACCTACTAAAATAAGATACTGATTTATAGGAAGTGAATGGAGAAGAAATCTACCATGATTTTAAGGAAGTTGGTATTTTCTCACCTTTTCGAAGCTCTTAAGTGTAACTTCATATATAAGCTCAGCATTAGGTTCAATGCCAAATTTAGGCTTCCCTGCCTCTCCAAAACCATATCTGAAATGGAGAGTAAAAAATAAAACTTCAAAAGAATTGGTGTATTTCCAGGCACTTCCTTCAGTATTTTGAGGCATCAACAGAGCTATCATTTGCAAGCTACATATGTCAGAGACCCTGAAGACAAACCAGATGTTGACCGGAAGATACAGTGTGAAGTATCTTCACTGCTACAGTTTTCTTAGAAACCAGGCTAGTTTAGTTTTCTTTTTTCCTTCACATTCACATGTAATGCAACACCTGTACTCCTTGGGGCAGCTTGATTCATGGGATTTTAAATGTCACTGCCTTTTTCTCTACTTGATTTTATATCTAGTGGTTTTTTTTTTCTTTTTATAAAATGGCCATGATTTAGCTGCCAGGAATTTTCCCCTAAGTTTTATCAGCAGAAAGGACAGAGAGGACACAGTCACTGTAATTGTTAGAGTGGTACTCGCTGGAAGGATGTTTTAATAAGCTTTTAACTTTAAAGTGCTGTCACCTTCTAGTAGTATCACTTCCAGTCACGTAAGTGAAGGGGAAAGGCTCACACATCAGGAGAGAAAAGTTTTCACACTATTTAAGTTTTGTAAAAGCACATGAAGAAACACAAATAACATAATGATATACTCAAAAATAGCTGTCCTAGCAAGTTCTGACACCTCCTCTAGAGACATATTCTTATGGCTTGTAGCTATTAGAGTGTAGGATTCTATACCTTTTAGCCAAAACTTACTGAAAAAAATAACTGAGGACATACAAATTTGCTTTTTTGGGATCATGTAAGATCTCCAGCAAATTAAATGTATTCCGGAAGCAGATATTTACTAGAATGGGAGCTGCAGCAGAGCTCTGTCTGGTTCGACTGTTTCCCAGTGTTTAGAACAAGGCCTAGCATATTAGTCAAGTGTTCACCGGAATATATTCTGTTCCCATTTGTTGCAAGTCAAGCTGTTCTTTAATATATAAAACGGTATTACAAAAACTTAGTAAACTCAAGCTTTCAGGGTACAGGTTGAAAGATGTCAAAACCGAGTTATCTAATACCTCCAGTTTTCTCTGGGGCAAAGGGACTAGAGTGGGAACACTCAAATTTTGTTGCTTACACCACTTTATTTACCCTTTGCCTGAATTTTCCAGGAATAAAAATGCTTACTCACTCACCTCCACTGCTACACAGAAAATGGAAGCTGGAGCCAGAAAGAGGAATAGAGATACGAGAGCTGCTGGGAATGAGGAGCTGGGCAAAGGGTATCTTCCGCAAAGACATAAAAAAGGACATGATTACCAATGACCAATTTTAAGAAGTGATGCCTAATTTTCTACTTTGAGATCTTAGATGTATATATCTACTATCTTGTTTCTGCCATCTGATAAATTAAAAAAAAAAAAAATCCTTAACTACCCAGGTAGGTAGGTGAGTCCTTGCTAAGCACATGTTTACTGACAGCATGTTATATTTGGAGTCTTGTGCTAAGCAGTTGCAAATACAACAAATGATCTGGCATTTGCCTTAGACCAGTGGATCTCAACCAGGGTGATTTTAACTCCTCTTCCCTCCAGGAAACCTTTGGCAATGTCCAGAAATAATATGGGTTGTCACAACTATGGGGGTGCTACTGGTGCTGGATATTCTACAATGCACAAGACAGCCCCCTATGACCACGAATTAGCAAGCCCAAAGTGTCAACAGTGCTGAGGATGAGAAAATCTGCCTTAGAGGAAGGTGGGTGGGGAGTGTGGGGTTGAATGAAGAGAGGCACCAAGTGTCCTATTATTGATGGGATGAAAGAAGACTAAAGAAAAATATTATTTCTACACTCTATCCCAGGTTAAAATGAAGGGATTCAGTCAAGATACATGTGGTGCACATGATCTTGCAGAGGTGAAAGCCCACGGCAAGATATTCTGGCAGCACCTATCCTGACTTCCATATTACACAGAAAGTTGTCAGCCTGGGTAAAGAAGGAACCAGGGCACTCAACTCATCTGACTGAAAAACAAAACACCACAAGAGGAATCCCAGGACCCAACCAAAAAATAATCTAGACTACAGTAACAAAAGGAATTCAGTGTTAATGCCCTTGAATTAAGTTTCCTCCAGAGATCAGAGATACAAATAATGACTTTTAATGACCATTAAGCCTTAATGTGCATATAAGAAGCACTTGGACTACAAGCTCTTATCAATCGCTCCATTTTTACAGATAAAGAAACAGAAGCTCAGCGATAAGTGCTTCCTGAGAAGTCACACAAAGAGGCAGTGGTAGAGCCAGGGTTTAAATTCAGACCCCGTGTGTCCCCAGAAAATCAGGTTTTTTTTGACTCATACTGCCTCATAACTAGACACTATGGCTCTTGGTAGCCGTTTTTTGTTTTTTTGTTTTTGTTTTTTTTTGAGACAAGGGTTTCACTCTGTCACCCCAGGCATCGTGCAGTGGTACGATCTCAGCTCACTGCAACCTCCGCCTCCTGGGTTCAAGTGATTCTCCTGCCTCAGCCTCCTGAGGAGCTGGGATTACAAGCATGTGCCCCCATGCCCAGCTAATTTTTGTGTTTTTAGTAGAGACGGGGTTTCACCATGTTGGCCAGGCTGGTCTTGAACTCCTGACCTCAAGTGATCCTCCTGCCTTGGCCTCCCAAAGTGCTGGGATTACAGGTGTGAGCCACCTTGCCCGACCAATAGCCTATGTTTTTGTTTGGAGTTCATGCATGACAGAAACATAAGGAAAGGAAGGAAAAAAAGTTAAAACTATATACACTTTACCTAAAACAAAAAAGATTTATTAGTCTCAGTATTTAAAACAATACAAAGGGAAGATATTGTCCCAATGAGGAGAAAGAAAAATGGATTGTCTGGAAATGTTTTATGAATTTCTTACTATGAAGACATTCTAGGCCGGGCGTGGTGGCTCACACCCATAATCCCAAGCACTTTGGGAGGCTGAGGCTGGAGGACTGCTTGAGCCCAGGAGTTTGAGATCAGCCTGGACAACTTAGTAAGACCCTGTTTCTACAAAATGAAAAAAATTAGCCAGGCAGGGTGGAGCATGCCTATAGCCTCAGCTACCTGGGAGCTTGAGGTGGGAGGATCCCTTGAGCCCAGGAGTTCGAGGCTACCGATTATGCCACTGTACTCCAGCCTAGGCGACAGAGTGAGACCCTGTCTCGGAGGGTGGGCGAGGGAAAGAAAGAAAACATTCTTTCCAAGAGTCTATCAGAGTATCAGAGTCAAAGAGAAGGTCTGTCTTGGAAATTTTCTGGAGAATGAAATACAGATAACACTAAGAGCTATTTGCAGATTTTTTCTGCAACAGCCATACTTATAGCAACATTTAGCTACAATGTTTTATGAAAGTGGGAACCTGAATAAAAGAAGTAAATTCACTGCATGCACTGAAAACATGCTTAGCATGTAGGGGTTTTCTACACACACACAGGGTATGCATATAAGTACATATATACACACACACACATATATAGCATGTAGGGGTTTTCTACATATATATGTAGTACTACATAATGCATATGCAGCAGTCTCGTATTACAGAGAATGCACTTCACATAATTCTTCAACATACCAACACCTTGAACAAAAATAATGTTCCTTTCTAAATATGCTAAACTATTTCCATAAAACACATGAAAAATTTTTATACCTAGAAATTTATGAAAACCTATTGACAACTTTTATGCCTGAAAAGATCTGAAAAATCGATCTCATGTTAAACAGGATTTCCTTTTTCTTGTGGTCCGAGGGTAAAATGGAAGAGAAGGCAAGCTGTCACAATACCAACAAAAGCTCACACACCGCGGGCTCACTTGTGCCCTACATGTGCAGGATTTCATTTAGCTCTCCATAACTTTATGAGGTGGATACTGTCATCCCTATTTACAGAGGGGAAACTGAGGCTTAGGAGGGTTAAGTGCCTTGGCCAAGTGCACAGAGCAGGGTCTAGCCACTAATGAGACAACAAACAGTTTAAATCTGAAAAGAACTGTTTGCGTTAAAAAATATAAAGACAATTTCTGTTTTTCTTTGCCATTACACTTGAGACATCTGTCCCCACAACTGCCTTGTCAGCCAGGCTAAAATGTAATGTATATAAACTGGTTCATATAACATTACATTGTCATAATACATACAGAATTTATCCTAAGGAAGCTTAAATTTTGAAAACATACATTACACATAAATCCACCTCTCTGAGTTTAAAACTACTGTAATTTTGAAATGCTGATTAAAAATAATCAGATATGGCCTGGCGCAGTGGCTGTAATCAATCCCAGCACTTTGGGAGGGTGAGGCAGGCGGATCACTTGAGTCCAGGAGTTGGAGACCAGCCTGGGCAACATGGCAAAACCCTGTCTCCACAAAAAATACAAAAAGTAGCTGGGTGTGGCGGTGCACACCTGTAGTCCCAGCTACTCCAGAGACTGAAGTGGAAGGATCATCTGAGCCCTGGAGGCTGAGGTTGCAGTGAGCCGTGATTGTGCCACTGCACTCCAGCCTGGGCGACAGAGTGAGATCCTGTTACAAAAAAAAAAAAGTAATTAGAGATTATTTAGATAAGGAAGAGATAGCTTTTTCTATGCTCTATCTGAATTTTAAGAAGTATCTGACAGAAACAGAATTAGTTTTACCTAAGAATAAACTACAAATATAGAGTAAATATTAATATAAATAAGACACATTGGAGTGGCGGCTACAGTTAGTGGAAAGAGGAACCAGGTAGAGAAAAAGAAGGCATTATACAAAGGGTGCCTCAGTGAGGGCTATAAAGAGTTCAAGGTAGAGCATTTTGGAAGGATTTTCAAGTGGTAGTTGCATGGCTAAAACATCACCTCAAAAATATGATCATGGGCTGGGCATAGTGGCTCACACCTGTAATCCCAGCACTTTGGGAGGCCGAAGTGGGAAGATCACTTGAAGTCAGGTGTTCGAGACCAGCCTGGCCAACATAGTGAAACCCCGTCTCTACTTAAAATACAATTAGACGGGCATGGTGGTGGGTGCCTGTAATCTTCAGCCTCAGCTACTTGGGAAGCTGAGGCAGGAGAATTACTTGAACCCGGAGGTAGAGGTTGCAGTGAACCAAGATCATGCCACTGCACTCTAGCCTGGGTGGCAGAGCAAGACTCCGTCTCAAAAAATATATATATATGATTATGGATCAAGTGCTGGGGCAAAGGTAAACTGCCGTTGGATTACTACAGAGTCTACAAAATGACACCACCAAAGGCATAACATCACCTACTGGCAAGTGCAGGTCATCAAGATTCTCAGTAACTCAGAATCCCACTGTCTGAAATCCATGGAGCCAGGGGCAGGATACACTAGATAAGCAGATGCACTCTCATGCAGACAAAATCAAAACACCCTGGGTTCTCTCAGGGGTCTGTTTCTCAAGACAGAAGGGTTGGATTCATGGTATAATTTTAGATCTAAAAATAATACTAAACATGTTTTCATAAGAGAGACTGTCAGTGTCTGATGGCTCTAAGCTTGGAAGTGCTAATGGATATCCTTATGATGGGAAAAATTTAGGCAAAAAATGAGTCATCTCCGTTGCCTTTAGATCCAGGAAGAATGTGCTTTTTTTTTTTTTTTTTTTCCAAAGACTCTGTATAAGACCAAGTGACACAAGTTCAAGTGGTAGTAAATCATCCAAATGCTTCTTTGATCCCAACCCCCATGTTTTCCTGCCTCTTGCCTAGTTTAGAGAAAAGGAAAGAGGGGGTGAGAGAACCACATATGAGAAGAGTCCATAACTGCCTGTCTTGGCAATAATGCAGGCAAGACAAATCATTACAAAAGCAAAAAGTGCCTGTAAGTCCTATTCTGAACATATATCAATCAAGTAAACATGCTCACAAACCTCTATGATATTGTAAGGTCCATTAATTTATGTGATGACTAACTGCAGCCTGATTTAATTGTTTCCGCTGTTGGATTAACTTCACTGAAAATGCCAAAACACTGAATGAAAAAGCAAGCATATTCCTGTCCTTTAGGTGACTTCCTAAACTGTGTTCCAAACTGGTATGCTGCTTACCTTGGTCCAAGATATAAAATACACTGTTCTTCCCGCTGCATTTTCTCCAGAGCTTTGTCAATTCCAATTGGAATGTCGTGGTCTTCTCCTTCACCCACAGTGAATGCCACATCTCTGCAGTCAAACATCCTTTCACCACAGCGGCCTTCCAGGTGGACTGAGGGCAAGGAGACAGGAGTCAACAGAGCTGCTTCTTAGGACTGGCTAATTCAGTGATGTGATAAATGAGCGCCGACAATGTAGCAAATACCATTTCCCCTTTCTCATTTCATCAAGAGACATACACAGTATGTCTTGGTGAAGCTTAGTCTACCCAGTCTGAAAGTTTAGGAGCAACCATATTTCTGTTTTGGGTTAAACTTGCAATTACTGATATTTGTATCAATAAGACAGCTTAGTAGGTAACAAACCAGAAACATAGGTTTATTCTAAGCCTACTATGTGACAGAAGTTTCCTCACCTATAACACAACGTCAAGACATGCTGGATTATTTAATAAATAGTTATCAAATGCCACAAATTTAATATCAAATATATAATGGCTTAAACACCTGTAACTGCATCTTGGCTTCAGATGCCAAAAAACCAAACTAAATGGCTATTTCTCCAATGATATACAAAGGTTAAATGAATACAGATGCTCCTTCTTCTTTAAGAGTCCTAATCTCATTCACAAATATATCTGAATAACAATGGTAAATCCAAAGACAACAACATCAATAACTATCTTAGCTATATCCCTTACTGGAAATAATAAAGTGTGAAAGAATCAAGAGTCTACTATAACTTCACAAATCAAATTACTTAATAACCTCCCCTGAAATGTTAGGAGGTCAATTTTGGGAGGCCTAATTCCTTGTTCCACCCCAATTTACCAAGCTCATTACCAGGGTAATTTCATATTAAAATAAGAGGCTTTTTATCTTAAGACAAAATAGGAAAAATGCATACAGATATCTATTTTTTCTTGATCAGTTAAACTGTTTTTTGAGACAGAGTCTTGCTCTGTCTCACCTAGGCTGGAGTGCAGTGGCGCAATATCAGCTCACTGCAGCCTCCACCTCCTGGGTTCAAGCAATTCTCCTGTCTCAGCCTCTGAAGTAGCTGGGATTACAGGTGTGTGCCACCACACCCGGTTAGTTTCGTATTTTTAGGGTTTCACCACGTTGCCCAGGCTGGTCTCAAACTCCTGACCCTCAGGTGATCCACCTGCCTCAGCCTCCCAAAGTGCTGGGATTTCAGGCGTGAGCCACCACGTCTGGCCTAGACTCTTCATTTCTAGGAAAAACAATACTCTGAAACTTTACAACTACTTTGAATATTAAGGGTATTTATTCTTTCTATTTAAGTTTTTGATGTAATAAGAAAAATGGATGGCTGGTAATATAGCATAACAGTCATCAAGCAATATGGTAATTTGGATTTCATAAGAAAATCCTGACTGGGCGCGGTGCCTCACACCTGTAATCCCAGCACTTTGGGAGGCCGAGGCAGGCGAATCACCTGAGGTCAGGAGTTTGAGACTAGCCTGGCCAACATGGCAAAACCCCATCTTTACTAAAAATACAAAAAATAGCCAGATGTGGTAGCACGTGCCTGTAATCCCAGCTACTGGGGAGGCTGAGGCACGAGAATCACTTGAGCCTGGGAGGCGGAAGTTGCAGTGAGCCGAGATCATGCTACTGCACTCTAGCCTCCAGCCTGGGCAACACAGGGAGACTCTGTCTTAAAAAAAAAAAAAAAAAAAAAAGAAAGAGAAAATCCCTTTATTTCTACTTCTGTAATATAACAGCCTATATTCAAAATTAGAGATTTCCTAAAATGCTTCTAACACTGGCTGATCTACTTTAGATCAATGACTTGTAGAGAGACTAAAAATCACTCGTTCTGTTATACTCATTTCATGCCCAATAAGATAACTATTATCTTCCAAATAAAAATTCAAATCTAACTCATTCTACTTTTGAACTACATGATCTCAATGAAGCTCTAAAATTCTATGATTCTATGACCTGGTAATATCACTCTCAATATCAATATAGCCCAGAAACCAGCTTCAAATCGAATTCCTGCAGTTAATCATTTAATTGAATTACCTCTAGCCCAGGTCTGAGAAATGAGAAAAACTGAAAAATGAACAGGAATGGTGTAGACACTAGGTGCCAGAATGTCCACAGGACATTTATGCTCTAAAGCTTTCTAACCTTTTCTTCTTCCTTTTGATTTGCTAAATCTTCTCTGTATTGTTCCAAATATGTACTGCCGAAGTGAGTACTCACTATCCTTTTTTAACTCATCAGTATTAATACCACCTTGACGTGTTCCCCTTGCAGACACAAAATGGGGTCTAGGAAACTTGGGTCAAACTAGAAAGGGCCTAACTCTTGAGTCAGCTCCTCCAAACAAGGGCTAGAGCTGGAGTGTCTGGGTAGAGCTGGCATACGGCATTTTAGTTTATGTCCCATAGTCATAAATGCTGGTAATTCCTTCTGTTATACTTACTTTTAGAATGCTCTAGATAAAATTAACTTGTGGCAAATTGAAAGTTCATTCTGGATTGGAAAACATTTAAAAAATAAATTCAACTTTAAAATTTTCAAATACAGTCATGCTTCACTTAAGGATGGGGATACATTCTGAGAGATGTGTCATCAGGTATTCTCATCATTGTGGGAGCATCTTAGAATGTTCTTACACAAATCAAGATGGAGCAGCCTACTATAACCTAGGCTAAGTGGTATAGCGTATTGCTCCTGGGCTACAAATCGGTATAGCATGTTACTGTACTGAATATGGTAGGTAACTGTAACACGATGATAAGTATTTGCATATCTAAACATTGAGAAAGTAGAGTAAAAATAAGGAATTATAATTTCATAGGACCACTGTCCGATGTGCAATCTGCTGTTAAACAAAATGTTACGCAGCATATGACTGTACATGCATACTAGAGAGGTTCTACAAGGAGTCTGAGGTTTAAGATATTTTTATTGAATTTGCTGAGGGTGGTGACGCACACCTGTAAGTCCCACCTACTCAGGAGGCTGAGGTGGGAGGACTGCTTGAACCTAGGAGTTCGAGGCTGCATTGAGTTATTATTGCGGGAACTGCAATCCAGCCTGGGTGACAGAGTGAGACCCTGTCTCCATTAAAAAAAAAAAAAGATATTTTTACTGGAGTAAAAATGGATGTTTCTAAAGAGGTTACGAGTTCTAAATATTTAAAACTCTGCCCAAGAAATTTAGACTAACATTTTTCATTTAAAAAAAAAAAAGATTTGCTGAGCAAAGTAAATTTCAGCTCACGTATTGTGGAATGTCTCAAGCATAGAGATTTATTGTCCTAGTAGCTCACAACTTAGTTGACAGATTTTTTTTGTCTGAAGTTTATTGTTGGAAGTATCATCTTCCTCCCTTAAGGAGAGTACATTTAGTGGGGGAGGAAATTATCAGTACATTTGTTGTGGCTTTTGGTTGATCGAGTTTGAATGTTTTCAAAACAGGAAATCCAGAGACTCTGCAAGGATTCCTGCCTGTGCGTTAGTTTCCTAGGCTGTTTTTCAGCTTGATGTATGTACTTGATATTAAAATTATATAAGCAATCTCAGAAGTTCTCTTTAGATGTGATAACCCATCATTAGTGAGGGAAAAAGACTGGCTACTAATAAACATGTTGGGAAAGATAAATGAAGTAACTGTGCCAAAAAAAAAAGTCAAACTGTAACAAAGGCATAATTAAGAAAGCAAAACATTCATTGTAGCTCGTCTTTCTCAGAGAGACAATAAATGACAGAACTAGTGTCTGATGCTGTAATAGGACAGTAAACATTTGTGGTAGCTCTTATAAATATTTTCTACTTTACATGTGGACTAATCTTTTTTTTCTTCTTCCTGGTAAATCTAACCCTTCAAAATTGGACCCTGTAGTACTATAAAATCTTAAACGGATACACATCCAGATACATACACCCCAGTTTATATAAAAAAACCAAAACCATCACTTTGTAATACTGATAATATTCGGAATGTCAGAGTAAAAGGAGGTATCACAGCCTCATGGTGAATACAGCCCATTGATTCTCTACATCTACAAGCAGCAAAGGGCATTGCTGGGTTAACTGGTTTCTAAACTTGGAACACTGATGTGACAAGTTCTACAAGACTGCTGACAAGAACTCACATACTACTTGGAGCCACGAAAGACTGCTGATTGCCACAGTCAGGGGCCCCACTTGCGGTAACAGATGCAGATGTGACTAGTTCCTATAGCTCCACTTATTCTTTTTAATGTTATCTTTAAAACTGCTACCAAAAAAGCCAAAACAAAACAAAAACCATGGCAGCTCTGGCTGTGGAAGACCTGTGGTTGCTTTTTGACCTGGCATCTTTTAGTGCAAATACTAACTTAATAAATATTTAATAATAACCATCATGACTCACTGGGAGTGCAGCCTCTAGGGCTCAGGAGGTCTGTTGCTAATCCCAAGCAGCATGATTTACGGGAAGTAAATCATCTATGACGTGCCCAAAGAGAATAAAAGTACATACAGGATGCTTCTACTTAGGGCTTTTTTGGTAGAGAAAGAAATAAACAAGTTAAAAAGAGACAACATTTTTTTCCTGACTTAAAGACTATGTAACTTAAAGGGGGAGGGAGGTCCTCCAAATCCCCACAAACTCAAACCAAACCAAATTACCCAAGCTTAGCTGCGCAATCGGAGTGTAACCACATCAAGCGAGCTGCAAAACATCACTTAAACTGGAGCTCTGACTTATTGTTCTCTTACTGCCCTAGAGCAATTTTGTTTTGAAGAGCACAGAACACCCTGTTCTGAATGTGGCTGGCACATGAACTCGATGTGCTGACAGCAATTTGTACTCCGATTAAAATAGGGGGGAAAAAAGGAAAGAGAGTGCACAGCAGTAACAAAAATGAAATGCAAGAACCCCTAAACCATGCAATTTGTATTTTAGGAAGCAAAACTGAGAAAGAGGCTCCATAACTTAAAAAACAAAAAAAACCCAAAAAGCTGTAAATGCTCCAGCCTAAAGACATTAGCTCTGGTAAGTGTCTATTTTTCCTTTTCTAATTATAGTAGTTGGTGTCTGATAGCTTTGCACTCATTCTCAAAACAATTACTGGGTCATGGGGATCTGA